GGGTTACGGTATGGGCAGGCGTATGTTATGGACGAGAACACAGGCCACTCGATTCACAACATTACCCTAACCCTAACCCTAACCCTAATCCAAACCCTCACACCAGATACTGACTGGTTTTCGGACCCCCCCAGACCCCCCCAATAAACCAAAAATGCACGTTTCAGAGTGGCCTTTTATTGTGGCCAGCCTAAGGCACACCTGTACAATAATCATGCTGTCTAATCAGCATCTTGATATGCCACACCTGTGAGGTGGGATGGATTATCTCTGCAAAGGAGAAGTGCTCACTATCACAGATTTTTTCAGATTTGTGAACAATATTTGAGAGAAATGGTTATTTTGTGTATGTAGAAAATGTTTTAGATCTCTGAGTTCATCTCATGAAAAATGGGAGCAAAAACAAAAATGTTGCGTTTATATTTTTGTTCAGTGTATATATTGCTATATTGGGTTTTTTGCTTTGTATGTCGGGGGCGGGAGATTCATGTGATTGGTTGTTGGTCGCGTTACTCGCAAAAAATCCCCAAGCTTTCAGACACGCCCACCTCCAAGATTTTCAAGATTTCTTTAACGCTGCTGTGTGGACGGGCCGTCAATTTGCGGAGGGCAATCACCGTTCATAGACGCACCTTGGCAAACAGAGGAGGAGCTCTGATGGGATTGCATGGCTGATCATGGATAAGTGTTGCCCCTATCCTCACACAACTCAACTGGGATTATCCTACTACATTCAAGCCTTTACCGGCGTCATCCCTTGGAATCAGCACGATCTCATGCGAGCATGTTTAAAGGTCACAAATCCTTACACTGGCTAGTTTCTACATAAACAATTTGCCAGGTCAGTGTGCAGTGAAATCCCCAAGATTATGCCTGACCTCCCTCCTATTAAACCATCACCTTACATGTCTGAAGACAATGTTTTGTACTGAAGCAGTCTTTCATCTTAATGTTTTAGCAGTATGGATTCTCTCTCTTTCAATGTAAACTAAGGTATTCATCAAAATAATTTACCCCTAACACTAACAGCCAAATATATGTATGATGCCCCACCTGTTATCGAAAAAAGTAGGTTTGACTCAATTGAACCCCATGACAATTCAAAATGCTGTTGCATTCAAATGATATTCAGTATAAAAGGATCCATCTTTTTGACACAAGTGGAGTCCATTTAAACATTTACACCAAATCTGACCCAAAATGTATCAAAGTAAAGCCACATCCTTCCAGGTGAATGATGGTGATCATGTGCTTAGAGTCTTGGTCTAATTGGCATTCGGAGACAATCCTCTCTGCACCACAATTATAATGAGCTCTATTTGTTGACTTTGTGTACATTCTAAAATCTCTGTTGACTGCAAACAAGGTCAGACTTTACATCTTGCATAGATTTGCAGATTAATGAATCCTGAATCCGATCGCACCTTTGACCCTGGACAAAAGATTGACAAAGGACACCAAGGGCCAATAAAAAGAGGACGGGTTGTGAAGCCAACAAACAAAGTACACTTAGGCTTGTATTATCCTGTTTGTAACTGGGCCAGGTCTTGGCTAAGCACATTATATACTAACATGGGATTAAGACCTTTGATCCTGAGAGAATCTCATTGGCCAAGGGAAGCTTTGGTGTCATCATGAGTCACAGGTTGAATGAAAAACGTGTGGTACAAATACAGAGAGGAGAGATGTACAGCCTCGTCTTTTTAGACTACGCCCAATAACTTGCTGAGGAACAGCAACACAGGCAAAAGGGACTTTACCAAGATCAAGGTAAGATAGGTTTCTGGAAAGCAATGGACAATGAAACATCTGGTTGACATTGTTAGTAGTTTAGTAGAAGTTTGTCTTTCGACAACTGATTGGATTTTACCTTTGTGGAAGCATGGATCAGGCTTTTATTATTTGCGCCACATTTCGTATCCCAAAGCTTTGTCAAGAAGCTTTGACTGCTGTACAGTGAGAGAACAAATCTTTAAAAGCAGGTGTGCCGACTTTGACTTTGAAGTGCGTCCATCCTTGGAAAAGTGTGGCCTACCCCGAAATGAGTTCCAGACAAACGTTGAGTGCATCAAGAATTTAAACAAGCACCAGATGGCAGCTGAGATGAATCAAGAACATGCTTATAGATGGTTGAAACGAAGGTGATAGCTGACTTCAGATTATGTTCATTTCACCACTCTTTTTTGTTTTACCCTTCTCTGTTACATAGCATTGATTGTATTGCACTCTTAGAACTTTTTGTACCCCTGTTTATAGTTGTAGCATCAATAGCATTGTTGTATCAGCTGTACAAAACCAAGCAAGTGGACTTCCACACCCATTGTAAACTTAGCAATACATGTTGCGATGAACGTCTATTGAATATTGTGCATCTTACAACTGACATGCAAAACCTGAGCTTCAAGATTGTCCTAATGCAATTAAAGTTGACCTGGCTCTGCATCCTGTCTTTTAGCTCAGTTTGTCATTGGCAGGCAAGGAAATGATCTAAAAAAAAACGTGTTACCTCGCTCTGTTGGCACCTGCCATTGGAATTTAACTATAATGACATTAGTGGTAGTGCATGTGAAATGTTGCTAATTTGGGCCAGAGTTTAACTAATTTTGTATGTGTGCTAGCCGTATGATTAACAGCATTTAAAGTGACTGTTTTTCATATTTCTAGAGTGAGAAAGGCTAATCTAGGATAACGAAACATGTTTTCAAATGCAAACAATGGGTCATCAGTTACAATGGGGTTATGATTTCTTAGAATCTTATCTGATCCTCTTTACCTTGGATGTCTAGCGCATTCAGATGTCTATTTGCCTATAATATTTGCTCTCTTTTCGTCATAGATTTGGAGGAAAAATGGCACTTCTCCTGGGCCTTCTCTGCACCTTGTGCCTGGTTGGGCAAGTTCTTGGCCAGGACATAACTCATGAGGAATATTTGGCCCAGATCCAAGCCTGCCCTCGGGAGTGTAGCTGTCCCCCCAACTTCCCTCGTGCTGTCTACTGTGACAATAAGGGCATGAAGAGTATTCCCAAAATTCCTCCATACACATGGTATCTTTACCTGCAGAACAATTTAATCGAAGTGCTGTCAGCAGATGCCCTTCGTAACGCCACACAGCTGCGCTGGCTGAACCTGAACCGCAACAAAATCACTAGTGAAGGAGTGGAAGAAGGTGTCCTAAGTACAAAGCCTAACCTGGCGCACCTCTACATGGATGACAACCTCTTGTCCTCTGTGCCATCTGCCCTTCCAGCCAGCCTGGAGTCTCTACGTCTGTCCCGCAATCGCATCTCCAAGATCCCTCCTGGTGTCTTCATTGGTCTGGATAAACTTAACCTCTTGGACCTCCAGGCGAACAAGCTGATGGATGATGCTGTGACCGAGGTGAGCCTGAAAGGTCTAAACAACTTGGTGCAGATCAATCTGGCCAAGAACCAGCTGAATAGCATGCCTATTGGCTTACCTCCCACCACTACCCAGCTTTTCCTTGATGGCAACAACATTGAGAAGATCCCCGCTGGCTACTTCAAAGGTTTACCGAAAGTGGCCTTTCTGAGGCTCAACTACAACAAGCTTGGCAGCAGTGGAGTTCCCAGAGATGTGTTTAATGTCTCCAGCATTTTGGATTTGCAGCTTTCCCACAACCAGCTGACTGAGGTTCCCCTCATTCCCGCTGGCCTTGAACACCTTCACCTCGACCACAACAATATAAAAAGTAAGTCTGACATCAACCAAAAGCACATACCGCTACTTGTTTTGATGCATGTATTGTGTGGGTTCGTTCTATGTGTTCATTAAATATGATTGTGCATCAGAGAGGTATCCTGAAATGCTTTTGTAAGTCATTTATTGCCTTTGTTTTTACAGGTGTAAGTGGCGCAAACATCTGTCCTGTCGACGTTGAGACTATGGAAGACTCCGCCAACGAAAGTGTTCCTCGCCTGCGCTACCTCAGACTGGACGGCAATGACATTAAGCCACCAATTCCCAGAGATGTCATTCTGTGCTTCCGTCTCCTGACGTCCATTGTCATCTAAGATTAAAAGAATCAGCATGTTCTAAGAAAATCCAACTTTTCTCAAAAATGTTGATTATCTGTGAATATGGCATGAGTAATATTTGCACCTATGAAAGTTTCTTCAGTTCCAGATACTATTTACATTTTTCAGAAAAATTCTAACTAAAAAGAAAGTACAACATTTACAACGAACAAAAGATTTAAAAACGATTGGCACTTTGTTGACCACTACTTGTGCCTTATGTTGGTGTAACATCTTTACATACAATTCAGAATTACAATCTGATTGTAATGTAGTATGTAGTGATTAAGATGGATAGGAGAACAAAATGCGTTAATAGCAAGTTGAGGACTCATTATCGTATTATTATTTTTTATAATATTTCAGGAAAACCTTAGCTTTGTTGTAGACTTGAAGCCAAATGAATGTATTTTGTTCTAGGTTTGTTGTCTTATTTACTTCGGACAATGCTCTCTTTTGCAGATATGCATATTTACCATAGATAATAATTAGATTTCATATTTTAAGAAAATATGTAGAAACCTGTGAATATTCATGGCCAAAATCCATAATGTTTTTTAAACAAAAGCAATACATGTTTATGTTTTTTAATGTCAAAGCGTATTTTTTAATTTTGGTAATTATTTGTCTGAATGAACCGAGCAAGAGATTGTATTTTATTGTCTTCATTTGAATAAAACATCTGGAAAAAAACATGAGAAAATGCCCTCGTTTAAATTACCTTAAAATCAACCTTAAATATAAGAAAAATAATACTATTGGTGGTATTATAACCAAATTCTACTTGAGATATAACATTATCTTAAAACATCATTAGGAAATGAACATACAGTATATCATCATCTACATAACATCTCAAACCTGTACACCAGTAACAGAAAACTCCTATTATATTTGTACTGTGTCTGTCTTAAATGACTTTTCAAGCTTGTAAGAAATTCCCCCTCTCTGGGGGTTATGGGGGTTGAAAATATATGAAAATATTCGCCACATTTAGGATGTAGTCAGAGAACTGCCATTGTACCTTGTAAAAACTCCATTATCATTTTCCATTTCCATTGTGCAAAGAAAATACATTCTAAATACATCTTTTAACATTTGATATTTCTCAAAGTTAATTACTAAGCTTCTACATAGGGGATTAACTCTACAGACTTCTCATGTCTTTAACAATGCACTCTGTATGGATATTTTATTCAATGCTTGGCAGAAGAAAACTCCATGAATATGAATCCCAGCCTATATGGCAGGTGCAGAAGGATTTCTGGCTTTCTCGCTACGTCCTTTTCCCCTCACTCATCAAAAGGTCTAGAGTTACCATGGGAGGGAAAGAGAGGAGTGGGCAGGTTGAGACAAAAATCATTGCCAAATAAAGCTGACAGTGCAAATCTGGGCAGTACTGTGTGTTTCTTTTTTGTTTTGTTTTATCAATGCCCACTGAAGACAGTCTATTTAGCATATCCTTGAACACACCCACATTGGTACAAAACTGGAAAATAAGTACTTCCCGAAGGGATCTTCCTCCCTCACCCCGAAGAAGTTCATTCTCTGTCATGTCATGGTATAGTATCCCACGACTGAACTCAATTCTGTAGGTAAGCCACAACCTTAAGCAAGCGATGGGGCAAAGAGAAAAGCAGCTTCAATGGAGAGGGAGGGCAGAGGCCTTTCTCCAAGAGGGGACTTCCTCTCAGCACCATGCTAACAGGGGCTCCTCACAGAGCTCCCATTGTGTGCTAGGGCCCGTGGATCCCCCCCATACATGAAAGCAACACATGCCAGAGTTTCACTTCAGGAAAAGGCGGACAAATATTTCAGTCTGATTGAGCTCTTAGAAAAATAAAGGATACACTTGTAAGGGAGGCCTTTGCTCTCTTTTTCTTTCTGTGTCTGGTGTCTGTATATATAAGTGTGTGTGTGTGTGTGCGTGCGTGCGTGCGTGCGTGCGTGCGTGTGTGTGTGCGTGTGTGTGTGCGTGTGTGTGTGCGTGTGTGTGTGTGTGTGTGTGTGTGTGTGTGTGTGTGTGTGTGTGTGTGTGTGTGTGTGCGTAGTGTTTAAGGGGGTCGTGCATGTGGGTGTACGGTATGGGGTGGGTGCACTCTGACTGACCAAAAGCAATCTGCTCTGGTCCAATCGGTCTCAGTGCCTACCTTCACACATAAGCAGCAGGGCACTCAAGTCTGCCTAGCGCACAGACCTACACCTACACACACCTACACACACACACACACACTTGTCACATTAACACACACACACGTTTCACACACTTCACGCACACACCCTCCTCTCGTCAGGGCACCCTGCTCGACCTCTCACCATTGGCCAAATCCCGGAGCCCTCAGCATCTCCATCACGGCTGAAGGGACCATTCGGGAAAGCAGGAGACAGAGGTAAGCGTTCTTGGTGTATCTTCATGCTGGCTCAATGGATCTTTGGTGCAGGGGATTAGGCAGGCAAGAGAAAAAACACAGCCCCTCCAAAAACACAGCTATTCAGGATTTGCAGTGGAGCTTCTTGGCTAATTGGTTGTTGCTGCAGCAAATATATTTTCACTCAGGGATTCGCTTTGGTGACTTAAATGTGGAACTTTGTTGTCCTTTGGCAATAGCAGTGGTTGAAATATGTTCGATGGTAAAAAAATTAAATGTAAGTTTCAGTAGATGTGATTCAGGTGTGCGTGCCCGACAGGTGTCTTTTTTTCTGGTTGTTAACAACAAAAGTGATACTGAACTATTTTGCAGTTTTGACAGCTGCGGCATTGTTTTGACATAATATCTTATCATGCATGAATTTTGCCTCAAGAGATTCTACAAACTTTTCCCTCAATTTCTGCTTTAAAAAAATTGTATATATATATGTATATATATATATATATATATATTTAATTAGCTCCCACTAATTCCAGAAATTGTGCTGATAATCTTATTTGTAGTTCATATTTAAAAAAAATTATGATTTATTTATTTGTGTCACTTTATCACAGTTTTTAAGTTATTTTAGTCCTTTTTGGAATACAAATAAACGTGTTGGCAGTTTGTTGTTCAACCTGTAGCAACAGGATGTGTGTGAAATGTGTTTAAAGGTAAAAAAGCTAGAATGAGTGGATATCAGGAATGCCCAACACGGAGCCAAGCATAACACGGAGGTAGTCCGGGGGCTACACTGATACACACACATACACAGTTTGCACACACAGCACACTGTGATGGCCGGTATAAGCACACCTCTGTCTCCAGTATAGTCCCTCTTTCAGTGTAGCCATGCTGGATTTCATAGCCTCATGACAGAAAGTCTATTTCAGTGAGGATGCTGACCAGTAAGCACAACTTTTCTCAATAGGGTGCACTCAGTTCATGTTGGTCATTTCCAAGAGATAATGAAAGGAGTGTGTGCATCATTAGTCAATCCATCTGATATCAACAAAGATTTGATTCATGACTTAAATAACCTGCGCTGGTCAGTTTTTATATAATCTGTCGTCATCCCAAAAATAGCAGCAGAGGTTTCTCAATATTCTCTCTCTGAAAGATAGGTGTGTTAAGACAGAGTGTGCATCTGTGCAAGGATGTGTCTTTTAAAGTGTGCGTGTGAATGTGTGTGCGTTGTAGCACCCTCACTCCTGAATGAAGCTTTTCCTTGCAGCCGTAACTCACTGCCATCCTGTCCACAAACCTCGGTGGAATTTGGAGTTTGAGTGCTGAGACAGGCAGCCACCGGGCCTCATAAAGGCCCTCTGTAAAGGGAGAGGGGTCGAGTTAGCATAGAAACCTGTCTCTCTCTCTCTCTCTCTCTCTCTCTCTCTCTCTCTCTCTCTCTCTCTCTCTCTCTCTCTCTCTCTCTCTCTCTTGCTCTCCCTTGCTCTCCCTTGCTCTCTCCCACTCGTGAATCTTTTTCTCACTCTCTCCATCTAACCCTGAGGGCCAACACCTTGTCCACATCTCTTCTCTTCTTCCCTCGCTCTCCGTTTCTCTGCCCCGGCCTAGAGGACTCTCTTTAAACTTTTTTGCTTGGATTTGAAGTCATCTATCCCAGGCTTGCAGTCGTGTAGCTACACCTGCTATCAGTGTGCTATCAAGTTCCTCCACTGACAGATGATTGAATTCCTACGCACCATGTTTGTGGTGCCATCTCATTAGGCATTAATTAACTTGTGCTAATCGTGTAAGCACGTTCCATTAGGGATCTTTGAACTCATCCAACCTCACTAAGCTTGGTAGATCTGTGCTGCTGAGGAAATTAACAAGATTATGAACAGCAGCTATCTGGGTCAGGGCCGTGCAGTAGATCAGCACCCAGTGAAAATCCAACATGCTAATTTTAGATGCTAGTTGAAAGACCTTCTTGTCTGCACACCTCAAGAATTTTGTTGAATCTGCCAAAACCTTTATGGTGTTATTAGTAAAAAGATACTTATGGGGCGAAGCCTGCGAGCTAGTTCAGGCACTCAACTCGAGCTATGCTGCATTCATACATAACGCCCCTTGCCATTCTACAAGCAACCAAACAGAGTGTCCTTAATGTGCCGCTCTATTTAACCTGCCAGATATCTCTCCATGCATTGCTTGCTGCTGCTTTGCTGCAGCTACTTCTACGTTGCTGCTGCTTGCCTGCCCCACCACCACCCCAGCTTCCACCCCAGCTTCCACCTGTAGGCTCGGGGGTTAGTTATTTAATCATCACTCATCGTGCTATGTATATCTATGGAGTGATGATACCCGAGCCTAGTCGCCAAACTCAACTATATGCTGCTTCTAATAAACATGTTAAAGAAACATGTGAGTTGTCTGACTGAACTTTGTTTTATTGGAAACAAAGAAACCCAACATCTTTTTTCTTTTAAATACATTTAACGCCATCACCAAAAGATCCTACACTGAAATTATATTTCCTGAAGACTCATTAATGGTCCCATGGTTTCTTATCAGATCAACTCTGACTTTTGACCTTTGACACGTCACAGACGACCACTGATTTGAGCCAAGATGGCTGCTCCCTGGAACAGTGAGCCTCTGGCTACAGTGAAGCAAGAGGCCCTCATATTTCAATCCCTCCAGCTGTCTTCACCTCAGTAATGAAATCACTGACCTTAGTGTTGTGAATCAATGTCAAGCTGGTAGCATAGGCTGGTTGTACATCCAATATCATGAAGACATGCCTTGTTGAAGCGCTTCTAACGGGGGCGGAACAATGTTTTAATACCTTATTCAATTATTACAGAGTTATGTTTATATATCTTGAATTTCTGCATGTTTGTTCCTTTTTTACTAAAGCATTAAGACACATAAGACAAATACATTGAAGAA